GTACTGATCAAATAAATAACATACTCTTATAACTGAATTAAAAGATAGAAATCGAGTCAAAAAATATAGAGGTTTTGCTTTTCTAGTCGACAGATAAACAGACAACACATCAAACAAATCAAAAGCACACATCAAACGGAGCACTAAAACAAACGTTTCGCTCAAATGGAGGCAAAGAATAATTTTTGAACAGAAATGGGAGAAAAAAATTCTTATAAAAATCAAACAAACTTTTAAAAAGAGCTCAAATCACGCGTGAGAGACAAACACAATCTCTACTGAAAATCTAATTCAATACTAATTCATCACTAGATATCTACAGCAACAAAAATCAATACCAAAATTATTTCAATTAAATAAATACAAATGGCATAAAAACTTTTTCTGATTCTCTATTTAAACAGTTATATAATTGAAAGACAAGATTGGATTTGAAAAAAATGTTTCTTTCATTACATTTAAAATCCGGGACCGAAATGGATAGACAGCTCTTTGAATATACCTGAGCTGTTCGACAGTTAGCTGTATCCATGTCTGAGTGATCAGTGAATCGCATAGAAAGCTGATTGCAATCCCCCGAAGAGTGGGTTAAATAATGCCTTTCGAGATGTGACACGAAAACTGATTAAATCAGGCGTACAGTCAAAACCCAGGCATCAATTATTCCGGTTTCTAGTAAAACCTGTGCCTCAAAAACCTATTGTCAGCCATACGTTGCCTCACTTCGACACAGGTTTTCAATGGATGAATGTGTGAGAGAGATAGGAGGAGAGGGCCCGACGTGTCAGTGCCAGAGCATCACTTAGAGGAACAGTAGATATTGTGTTTCAGTGCCAACAGTTATACTGAAGAGACAGTTAGATCTGTGAGTGTTTTGTGTGGAAATCGAAAGCACACAAAAAATTTGTTGTATTCAATATACACTCACATCACGTGTGCATTTAGTTTATATATAACTTCCGATTGTATTAGAGGTCCACACCATTGCAGATACAGTTTTCAGTTTAACTTAATATATTGTTTGTGACACCTGTGCCGTCAATCAATCGCTATTAAGGCTGAGAGAGAGAGAGAGAGAGAGAGAGAGAGACTGGAAGAGGTGGTGGTGATGGACTGAATCAATAGAACTGGTGATATGGTGTCACCGTATTTAACACAACACTCTAACGGATGCCTTACATTTCGATATCAATACTATTTATCTTTAACAAAGTGTCAAAAAAGTTAACTCAAACTCAGTCTAAAAAATAGATTAACGACTAGTGATCGCTAACACAACGAATTGCTTAAAAAGACAAAAACAATTGATTGATCGCTAATAACATTAAGTTTTTTCTCAACTCTCAATAAACAGTTGCTTTTAATCTGTGAATTGGCAAAAAACACACAAAACAAAAGCAAAGCACAACTTTGCTGTTAATTGCATTAAAAGCATTTTTGACTCGTCTGTCGCAAACAAAAACAACTGCCATTTCTGTCTTAAGAAAAATATTGCCATTCATTGTATAATTATTTATAAGAATAGACTAAATTAAGAATGAGTGCATTAAATGGATGGGAGAGGCAGAGAGAGAGAGAGAGAGAGAGAGAATCATATAAACGAATAGAAACTAATTGTTACTCATTATTATAATCCTCGATAAATGGGAGTAAAACTTATTTTTTAATTAAAGGCTTTGAATAATAAAATTATCGATTGATTGAAAACATGTAATCATTATTGCGTTCGTAACCATAAACCTAAATAAATATACACAAAACGATTTAGAGAAATAAAAACTGCAAATAAAAAACTATTCCTAGTTTTCTAATCATAGATTCATTTGATAATAATTCCCAATAATAGGAGAGTTTATTGACATAAGTTTTATAATTAAATTAATATATAATTTAACGTCAAATGGTGAAAACTTATACTAAAAAAAACAGTCCGACAAACGATATTAGAAAATAATTTATGTATAAAATAGACAAAAAAATAAAACAAAACCCGAGTTGCATATGAATTGCAAATTATAAGAGATGAATATAAAACACTATTACTGTAAATGAAAGCCCAAAACAACACCAAAAACTAAATACACTTTTAAAACCGTAATCTTCTCTAATAACAAACTTTCACATATATTTACAACAAGATTACTATCTGAATTAAAACTACACTTAATTTTTATACAAAAAATTGACTTATAATAGAGTTGAGCATTAAAAACATAACATTAATGAATTAGATATCAAGTGAATGGCAATTATTTTTTCATGCGTTAGGAATTCCGCTGCAAAAAACATAACAGAATTTTACTTCACTTTCATTACACGAATCTAATTCTACGGAAAATAGCTGTTAATTCATTGTATATGTATTTCGGGCGCTCGTAAATAATGGCAGAGAGAGAGAGAGAGAGAAAGAGAAAGAGAGAGAGAGAGAGAGAAAGAAAGAGAGAGAGAGAGAGAGAGCTTTGAACCCATTTATACAAATTTCCAACAACTTATACATAGACAGTGACTAATAGATAGGGTATCAAAGACTACAGATGTTATGCAATATCTTAACACTTGTTTACAATCTAATCATTTTTTTCGGAAATTAAATCATAAAAAGTGAAAATACAATCAAATAATCAGATCATAAAAATCAGTTGACAANACATAGACAGTGACTAATAGATAGGGTATCAAAGACTACAGATGTTATGCAATATCTTAACACTTGTTTACAATCTAATCATTTTTTTCGGAAATTAAATCATAAAAAGTGAAAATACAATCAAATAATCAGATCATAAAAATCAGTTGACAATTGAATAATGAGACAGAATTTAATTAAAATAATATAATTTATACGAAAAGCAAAAATCATTAAACATGATAAGAGTGAGACATAATTAAAACAAAAATTCATAAACCGATCGCTAAACTGCTGAGAGAAACAGAAAACCTTTTTGGAGTCAAAATAAAATTTTATGAAATGTGAGACAAGTATTGTATTTATAGTGAGAGCCAAGAGATAGGAATATAAACTCTAATGAATATAACGACTAATGAGACGTTCTCTACAATACATTAAACAATTGGACGATAAAAGGCATGAAAGCCGAGTACAGCAGAAATGAAGGCATCAGATAATGACATGAGTAGTAAATCTAGTGCTGGAGCTAAAGAGTAGACTATTTTGTTCACTAAACCAATGATTACAAGACTGCAAAAAATGTAGAGTAAATGGTTGCACAAAATATAGCCCCAAAAGATTGACGTAAAATCCGAAATTGACTCAATAATGAGTTCAAAGTTGTGTTTAAGTTATAGTTAATTAAAATACGAGAGCAGCGGAACTGAAGGGCACAAGAGTTTGAGGACCAGAACGTACTGTACATACGTATTGACACACAGGAGGGGTGAGGGGAGGGGAAGGGAGGGCAGAGGGAAATGGGGCTAACAATAAAAGGCTGAGTGAGACGTGAATCGAGAGAATTGAATGAAATGAATGTCAAAAAATTGAATTGAAAACCGATTTCTTGAATATATGGTTAAATGAGCGCATAATAAAGGAGAGATTTCATAATAAATGGTAGACCTAATTATGGCACACAATCCACAATCACTTGGCATGTGTTGTGAGCACTCTTTACCTCTTTTAGACAATATTGAAAATTATAGTCAAATGAAATGCAAACCTAAACCTAAAACCTCTGTATTAATAGAAAAGAGAACCGAAATATTCAGGCATTTGTAATGTATTGTTGTTTCATATATTAGAGAGAAGTTTCATAGCATTGTATTGCATATGAGGGCAGTGGCACTGCACTGGCAGTCAGTTTAGCAGTTATTGTTGGGGCAGTAAAGGCAATGTGTTATCAAAGGCGAACACATCCAACATAACCAACACTTCTCTCTATTGTTAATCTGGTTTGAGTGCAAGGAATCACGAAATACCAGCGCTGAACACAACCAAACACTGCGAACAACACATATACGGTTACAACAAATCCAATAGTCATTCACAAAGCGTAACACAATTTAAAATCTAATGCAATAAATACTTTAAGCAATTTTTCTCTACAGTCACTAAACATTTGGCGAATCGTATTAAACATTAATTATTATAAATTTCTTTCATCAAAATGAGAGTCAGAGGCAGAGAGGGATGAGAAACAAGTGAAGTGTTGTGTATTTTATTGGTGTTGGAGAAGAAAAAATAGTTTAAATGAGTTGAGAGGAGAGAGGAATAGGAGTAAAATGTAAGGTTAGGAATGCATGCCATCGATCCAGGCTTTGGTATTAGGGATGAGACCCAACACTACAATCCTACAAATCTATGGCTAACGTAAGGGCAGAGACACAGAGTGTGGGCTAATATGTAATATCGGTCGTCAAATAAAACATATAAAGCCTTCAAAAATAGCTCCAAGTATTCAATATTGGAGTTGAAGTCGACTTTTTTTGTTATAACACTGAAACTGTATTTCATTTGTAGTTTAGTCCCTAATAATAAAATTCCCCAAAGAATACAACGCATAGAAAGCACGCAAAACAACATTTAAACCAATACTACAACCATTTGGCGCATAGAGACAGCACCGACAGCACTGCATATATATCTGGAGTTAGCATCAGATCAGTTGAGATCCACTCAACTAATGATACAATGGAGTGGATTTGCTGAGAGAGAGAGAGAGAGAGAGAGAAAGAGAGAGAGCGAGAGAGAGAGAGAGCCGTTTGGTTTGTTAGTCTAATTTAGGACTCAATACAACAATACAGTACTCTCTCTGTTTGAGTACTGGCGCTAACTTTGTTGCCAAACAACACAACACAACTCAAGACTCTATTTAGCCACGAATTAAACCAAATTATTGTCGAATCATATAATTTAATAGTAGAGAGAGAATGAGAGAGAATGAGAGAGTAGGGGAGAGAGCGCTTGCAATACATGGTAAGCAAAGATGACCATTACATCAATTAAATAGTAACGGCCGGCAATAAAACGCCGACCCAACTGGTCATCACTGTTGGAGTAAACCATAAGCTAACCGCGCAATCGATTAATGATATGATTGGGAAGGGATGCCTACCTTTTTCAAATGTCCGCTCTCAGTGCCCAGGAATACGACAGTGTAGTCGTGCGTAGAGGTGGCCGCCACTGATGTCAACAATTGATTGTTATACGAGAGTACCGGTGCGGCCTCGATGGGCATCGATCCACCCAACGGTGTGTTGACATCCATACCACAGAAGTCGTCATTGATTTGAACTTGCTGCAAATTAACACAAAATACAACACATTAGTCTAATACTAATACATTTCGTTTAAAAATACTTTAAATTAAGTTTAAAAATACTTTAAATTAAACTTAATATACAGTATATGATTGGGGATGGGAAGGGTAGGGGTCGGCAAATAATTAGGCAATTTGTATGGAATAATCTCCGCATTTCTGGCAATCATATCGTATGAAAAATATTTTCTGACATTAGCTTTAGATATTCATTAAAAAATGTGAATATATTTTACATAAAATTCATAACAAACTTATATTTTTAATGCAATTACGAGTTTTTGGTGAACATAAAAATCAATAATAAATTCAAATAAAATACCAAAAATGAGAGATAAGTACGGAAAAGCTCTATATATTGTACAGATTCTGCATTATTAACGTAGAGATCAAATAAAAAATAAATTATAAAAAATATTGTAAACATTAAATCGCTTATAGTGTCCACAAATTGAGAAAAATAGTACACTTATGTCGAAATATCGTAATAAATGCATTTACAATAAATACATTAAAGCATGACATTTGTTAGCCATAAACGAGTTATTTTATAATAAAAAATATAAATAATTTAATGTCTATTACAATGAAATTTGTTTTGGAAATTAAAGTCAACCAAAAGATATATAATCAAAACCTATTTATGAATAATAGTTTGCATTAGTGATGGCCAGGGGGTAGGGAACAGAGGGTACAAAACCTGCGGTGACCTGAAAAGACATGCTAACTCTACGGTCGTATGAATAGTAACAATGATTATAATCAAATAACGTATGAAAATAAGTGCTTTCCGTAAAAATCGATCCCTAAATAAAAGCAAAAACTTCTGTAAACTTGTGTCCATTAACTTTAAAATACCGTTATTTTCCCGAATAAATCAATAGATTTAAGAAATATTTAAAGGAATTTCTTTTAATTTACAAATTTATTCATAAAAGTAGTATGAATTTAATATTAAAAGCAAAGTACAAAAAATAGGTTGAGAATGTTCACGCAACCAAAATATTAGATATTCCCCTAAATATGAGTTATATTCACATCAAGAAAATTTCATATTTCAATCATTGAATACGTTATGAAAAACATATTAAACTTCCTTTTCTTGTTTATTAAAGGGTATGAAAACATAAAGAGATGAGTAGTGCTATCGGTGTGTATTTCGTTGTATATTTCATTTGTCAGTCGGAGTTAATATCTGACACCTGATGACAGGTTTGTCGGGCACTGTCAGCACTGGAACTCTATGTATATATTCTATGCCATAACCGGCGCACAGGAACTCAAACATTAATTAACTCTATGTGTAAGCAATGGGTACGGTATTCAACGCTATTATAAAACACATTATAATAATCGATAAATTCTTTTCATACAAAAAACAAACTAAATGCCATTTATTTGAAGAATTCAAACAAATTATTATTATTTTAAGGCATTGAATATCAGATAATAATTAACTCAACAAAAAGTAAAGTATAATAATAATAATAATAAGAGTTAACCAAAAACTAAACTATCGATGAACTCATGAGATTAATTGCAAACAAAAAACTACTAAAAACAGAGACTTTTATAACTTAAAAACAACTTTTTTTTCTTATTTTCAATTGAATTTGAAGTCTCGACTCAGAAATCAAAGCATAAAATTATAATAAAAATTCTCTTCTCTTCTTATTGTATGAAATTATGATAAAAGAAATGATAAAATAAAACAAAAATTCATGTTTGAGACCAACAAAAAAAAGAAAACTATATAAAGCACTAAAAATATGACCATCAGTTTGGGGCCTAAATGTAGATCAAAAGCAAATCTATTATCAAATAATAAATATATAACTCGTTGTCGACTATTTAGTCGCATAAAGGGATGAAAACTTGTATTGTGTGGCAAAACGCAAGACATCCAAAAAATCACCAAAAATTTATGTGAAATTTTCGGTTTTGTATTCAATTGTTATAAATAGTTATTACTTATAAAAACCGTTTCATGCGATAAATTCTTTCTCTCTATTCAATCGACAAATAAATTTAGCGAAAAAGAGCTTAACATTTATAACACATAGAAAACTCATATTATAATAATACAAATACAAAACGAGAGAACAAATAAATAATTGCAGTGAAAAATAAAGTAAATTTTAAAACTGTTATAAAAGAGATCAAAAATACCACTAAAACGGCACAAAATCATAATTCTTTCCAATAAGAAATACATTTCACATAAAAATAATCATAAATTCGTGTTTTAGTCAAAAAGAGCTCCAAATTTACGATACGATTAGAGACACACAAGAAATAAATCCAAATCTGTAGCAAAGAATGAGAGAAATGCTAAGAAATAAAGTAAAGATTGAGATAATTTCGGATGAATTGCTCGGATGAGAGAGAAATACATTAAATAATACTTTCATATATGAGTAGAAAGAAAAACAAAAAACATCAAAAAATGTCAAATATTATAAAAATACATAAAGTAAAGCACAGAATATACAGAGTATGAAAAAACGCGTCGATTCCAGGGATTAGTTTCTCATCTCATCTTAAACTCAACTTTGCTTTAGTTTTAATGGTTTGTAGAGCCGAGAGAGAGAGAGAGAGAGACTGTTGTTATGACCAGAGTCTGTGTGGACTAAAAAACCATTCACTCTATGGGTTAGGAGAGGGAAAGGCATTAAAACAAACTCACAATTTATAATGAGAACAGAAAAGAGGGTTCGCTTTCTGGGATTATTAGTACTCTAATAGTTGTATTCAGTAGAAGTGATAAGTTTTTTCAGACAAATCGTTAACAAAAAATCAGTGAACACTCGAAACAAGTGCACAGAATAAGGGGACAAACATTTGCAGAATTTTTAATCCCAAACAATTGGCAAGAATTAGGGGACAATAAAAGGAGATAATAATAAACCGAAAATAAATGGCAAAATTTAGTGACATTTAGCCTCTTATAATTCATTAGATTAGTTATCATTTAAAATGATTTCAAAACAGAGCATAAGGTAAATATCGTGTAATAAATCAAATGAATATATAATAACCACAATAATAGTCAATGCAGTGAATGAAGCCTTAAATAAATAAATAGCTAAAGAAAACACAGAAATCAAAATCAAACACTAATTAGAGAAATGGAGTAAAAATGTTAGGAAATCACTAATCAATAGGAAAAGCAAATCAAGAGAAAATGAGATCAAATTAAGTGATAATCAGTGGACATGACTTACAGTGGGAACGCAGGGCTGTATGATGTTTATGAAGTCGAGGCCTTGGTTTCCATTGCCATTAAAGCAGTGCTGAATGTTTTGAGTGAATTTGCGGTGAATGGCTGACAGGGCGTAGACACAGAGCGCCGACTGGGCTGAGGGCCTATTGAACACATCGGACTCATCCTTGGATTTGGCGAACGCGATGAACAGTATATCGTCCTGTGCTGTGATGCCCAGCGATGTGGCCAACTCTGAGCCGGGTTTGCCCACAAAGGCTGCCTGAGCCAAGTTGTAGTCGTGGTTGTCGTGGGAGGAGCGGCACATAATCGGCACTTCAGTGTACGAGTAATAGTCGGAGTCTTTTTGGCAGATTCTGACCAGTTTTGACACGAAAGGACGCGACGCCTCCGCAGACTTCTTCTGAATGGTCAGGAAGTAGGAGAAGCCGCGCGACTGGAAGCCGTACACATAGCTTATGGGGTACCGGTCCCGAGCCAACGAGTTCACCAAGAGTCGCGTCCCTGTCGTCACTCCCGTCGCCGCTATCGTGAACATCGCTGTTGGGGTCATACAAGACATGTCAGACATCACTTAGTTATGCGTCCATACAATGGTTACTAAACTATAACACAATTCATAACGTGTTTTCTGGTCTATTGTTTCGTATCTCATATGAAAAAAGCGTTTCATTTCTCAAACACAATCAAAAGACATTATTATTATGTCATCAGAAATATATACAAAACAATTAGACTTTGGACTCAAATAATTTAACATTTTTATATTTTAACCCAATTTCATGACACAAACAAAATAATACCCAAAAAATTGAAACCTAAAACTCAAAACCCAAACCTAAGGCTAAAATAATAACACAATGTTTATTGATTTGAAGGCTAAGCATAACGTAAATGGAAAACATTAGACACAAATGAATTGAACAAAAATGTAAAACTAAACGCAAAACACTCACCGCTGGGGTCGAGTGACCGGGAACTGACTGCCGGTACGTCAGACCGATAGGGCCCGTTAGCCGTGTAGGAGACGCCGACATAGAGCACATGTTTGGGTGACTTGGTAGGTCCGGGCGCGATGAAGGCCACTGTGGAGGCGGTGGCGTTGTTGGCGGCGACCGACTCGGTGGCCGACGAGTCATAAGTGGAAACGTTGTCCAACTTATGGACACTACAGACCCCCTGGAAGAGTGAGCCACACGTGAGGAGTCGTGACTGCGCGTAGTCTATGGCCAGCACTTTGTTGTAATAGATGGTCGGCTTCTTAACCGTTTTGGGACAGTTTCGGGTCACCGGACAGTCGGCGCTGTCCTCCTCGGGTCCCATCACAGCCACGGCTTCGGTGGCCAATTGGGGCGACAACTGGTAGATCCGGTTCACGCCCCCGACGTACACCTGACCCGTGTATGAGTTGACGGTCAGGTGCGAGAAGAACAGATCGGTATTCCGCTCCTCGAAGTACG